TGTGAGTTGCTGTGTGTCAGTGTGTTGTCTGTCAGTTTGTGAGCTGCTGCGTGCCAGTGTGTGTTGTCTGTCAGTTTGTGAGTTGCTGTGTGTGTTGTGTGTCAGTGTGTCAGTTGCTGTGTGACAGTGTGTTGTCTGTCAGTTTGTGAGTTGCTGTGTGACAGTGTGTTGTCTGTTAGTTTGTGAGCTGCTGCGTGCCAGTGTGTGTTGTCTGTCAGTTTGTGAGTCCCTGTGTGACAGTGTGTGTTGTCTGTTTGTTTGTGAGTTGCTGTGTGTGTTGTCTCTTGGTGTAGAGTTTCAGAGACAGCAGCTGCTATGTGAAGACCTGTGTGTCTATTTTGGGATTCCTGCCTGGTCTCTGTGACCTTTATTATCACAGAGGGAGAGAGAGGAGCACACTGGCGATGTGGCACTGAGAGAGCGTCTGGAAACAGAGGGAGGAATCGCTGAAGGAGTCAGACAGAGACCCGGAGGCTGAGGTTTCTTGCTTTCAGAGTAGCCTGCACTATTCACAGTGGGTTTTAATTAGTCAGTTAATGAATTGCGATTTGAAAATGGACTCACCAGGTGTGGACAGAGACACAAGGGAGCCTACAGCACCTGCTCAGGAGGATTCAGAGAGCTTGGAACTGACCAACCAATCTGAAGAGAACCGGGACAAGGTCACTTATCTTTACTGTCACCTTCATCATCCTCACCATTCGTATTACGCTGTGTATGTTGTCATTATAATCTGTCTGTCTCTGTGTTGTTCTCCACACAGGAGGAAAGTGGAGCTGGAGAAGGAGGTGTGTCCACAAAGCTGGAAGATGGGGATGTGGTCGTGAGAGGAGCTTCTTCTGAAGACAAAGAGGAGGTTGAGGAGTCCCCAGAAGAAACGGTGTCCCTAGGAGGAGAAGGTGAGGCTGTGAATAGCCAAGACTCCGAAGAACACGTAGATGAAAAAGAGGAAAGGATCTGCACACCGGAGCGTGAGTCTAGTGTCCATCAAGATCTGCCTTCCTCACAAGAGCACAGTGCCGGCGAGGGCAAGGTGACGCCCACAGCAGACACAGCCATGAGCGCAGCCAGCGGAGGGAGTGAGACTCCAGAAGAAGGGGAGGTGCCTTCGGAGCACATGGCCACGCCCACTTCAGACTCAGCAGTGGCTTCGTTCAGTGGAAGGGGCGTGGCTCAAGGCGAAGAGGAGGTAGCCTGTGAGCTCAAGGCCACACCTACATCAGACACAGATGGGGTCTCAGTCAGTGGAGGGGGCGTGGCTCAGGGGGAAGAGGAGGTACCCTGTGAGCTCAAGGCCACACCTACATCAGACACAGATGGGGTCTCAGTCAGTGGAGGGGGCGTGGCTCAGAGGGAAGGGGAAGTACCCCCGGAGGAGATGGCAACGCCTACAACAGAGATGGCTGTGGCTTTGGTCCGTGGAAAGGGCGGAGCTACGGATGAAGGGGAGGTACCCTCGGAGCACATGGCCACTCCTACAACAGACACAGCTGTGGC